CTATACAAATAAAATTTGATTTGATTTGATTTTATTTGAGTTATAAACTTGAATTAGGAATTATTTATTACAAAAAAAAACTCCAAAAATGAATTATTTTCCATATAATAAATAGCAGGAGGATGGGGTTTTGGTGGTGAGTAGAGTCTTGGATATGTCAAAGATTAGCAACAAAACTGATTTGATTGCTTTAGTATTTGTTATTTAGTGCTAGATCCCTCCTGACACTTTCATGGCCAAAAATGCCCCATTGACTTCCATTGAAACCACTTCTTTTTTATCTCAGTCCCATTATAGTATAAAACCATGCATTCTGTAATGTCAAAATTTCATTTTGAAAGAAAAGTAGTGATATTTGTTATTTTACTGTATTTCACCAGATTCAACCTTTTCCATTGTAGGCCAATACATGAAATTGTTGTATTTTTGCCATATTATGGAGCCGTGTGACTACCAGGGGGCCCCAAGAGTTGTGTGTGTGTGAGTGTGAGAGAGAGACAGTGTGTGTGAATCTGTAAGCACGCAGTGGGGGGGTAGCCAAAACACTCAGAGGGAGCAGCCCCCTCAATGCGCAAAACCACGGAAGCCAGGCTACGCAATAGCACCTCTCTATCTCTGCTTCTCTCTCTCTCTCTCTCTCTCTCTCCTACAGTCACCAATGAACCTAAGCCACATTTCAATGGACACTGGGAGCAAACCAAACTCCGCACAGAGAGGCCGGAAACGTCTCGCTCTAAGACAACAACACTACACACCGTGCTGCCCTAATAAAACATTTCAAATACAAAAGGCACCCAAGACGGCAAATACTCCACAAAATGCATTCAAAATTTGATGCACTAATAATGATTACCTTCAAAATAATGACTACGATAGGAAATTCGCAAATAACATTACAGCTTATCCGAGGAAGGACAAATTATGTGGCAGCTGTTTGGGGTGTGTCACAGTCAGTTGCCATCTGTGCAAAAAAAAAATCTTAAGCTGTAAAAGTCAGTCCCTTGTTGTTTCCAGTTAGCAGTTGGTGCTGCTGATGTGATGTGCATGAGACTGTGTCCACCACTAGTTTGTTCTTCTGAGGTACTAACAAAGTATTCAGCTAAAGTTCATGAATTGTATAACATCATTTTTGTATAACAACCTTTTTTTTTAATATTTTCATAATCATAGGTGAAAGTGTGCAGTGATCCCAGAAGAGAGAAGGACATGTGGACTGGTTTGGCTATAAGAACTAAGGTAGAACAAAAGGCCGACACCGGGCAGGGGCGCTGAAGGAGGACTGACAGTTTCCATGGATGGATGACCAGTTATTCAGGACAATCTCCTCACTGGGATCCCATCTCTGTTTTCACCCTAATGAACACCTTCACAGAGTGAAGTCGATTGATTTCCCTTCAGGAGGATTTAATTTATTCAGGAAGGAAGCCTGCAACATTGCAATCTGTAGACAATCTGTTAATATAAAAAGAAAATGTTATTTTAGCTGGTGGTGCATATAGCTTCTTTTGCACGTTGTCTGGTTGCTGTCCACAACGACTGTATTGCACATTTTACAGACAACGTTCACAACAGTTATGTGTGAAACCAATGAACGATTTATTGTGAACTACTATGAAAAATGTCTTTTCTCAGCCAAACTGAGTATATTTTAATGATTTAACTTTCTGAGCAACATTGCACAATGTTTCCTGCTTAAAGTAACACTGTAAACATGCAACTTGGCAATCATATCTGTAGGATGTTCTTAAATCCCCACTGCATTCTGTATGTATTTCAGATTCAGATGAAATATCTATACAGCTGGGAACTCTCAAGTCATCTAAATAGAACTATTAAAGTTGTGGACATCTAAAATATAGCTTTAACATCTGGGTTATTTGTCATGACACATTTTTAACCAATCATTCACAACATTTGGCTGTGTTGTTACAGTGGGAGACAGTCTGAGGGCACTAGAAGACAGAGTAGTGTTATATATCAGTAAGCTGCAATCTTGACTGAAGAAGAAGAAGCAAGCTGAAAGTTAAATACAGGGTGGGCCTCTCTGGCTAGTACTTTTACTTTTTTTCAAGTGTAGGATGCAACACAACCAACAGCTAAGGAGGGAGGTCTGTGAGCAGCACCAAGACGAATCTCCTGCCAAGACTTTACAAAGGTTGATGCATGCACAAACACAGTGCACTTTGGTGTGACCTAGGTCTACTAGTCTTTCTGAGGGATGAGGGAAACCCAGTGATGATCACCTGTCTCATCTAATTTGAGAAAGACCTCGATCAGTGTGAAGTCAGATGAAGTTCTTTTTATAGGTGAAAGGAGGCAGTATTACTCTTTTATGAAAAGCAACACTGTGTTCATCAAATGCCTTTTTTTTAACCTTTTTAAACCACACATATAGTGAACCCAGATAGGTTAATGATAATATGTGGTTTTTAGTAGTGTTTTAAGTTGTATCATACTTTTTGTACATATATAAAGTGTTGCCTATAAGATAGTTTTGTGCAACATCTACATCAGTGTCCTTACTAACAGGTTCCCACTAGAGGGCAGCCTCTTCCTGAATCAGTCCTCAGCTCAGTCCTGCTAACAACAAAAATGTAGCAACCCTGCTGCCTCAGGACATCATTACAGACTCAATAAAGCAATAGTCAGTCATATTTTCTGCTTAATTTATCCCATTGCCACCCAGCAATTTGTGCTGTGACATTTTTTACTGCAGCCGAAACAGCAGCATGCCTCAGAGTAAGTCATGCTATTTGCAGTTATCTTGTTGTTGTGTTCTTGCATGACCAGACATCTGTAGACAGCATGCAGTACACTTGCTGGTCAGCGGCCGAGGTCAGTATCTCAGCAGTACGTTCCTCTTGGAGCAGTCTGTATGGCTGTAATGACATTGTCCTGCTATTTACCAGAGCTTGTAAAACACTAGTCTAAAGGACATGAAGACAGCACCTTCTTGCTTAATCCAAAACTGTTTGGGAACAGATATGAAAATCGACATAATCATGCACAAACACAGGGAAGGCCAGATAAGATAATGTTTATGTTTATTACGCAAGTCGACAGCACATGGCCTCTCGCTCGCATTCTCACTCGAACAAAAACACACTCTTAAACAAGCACATGTACAAATGACACCAATGTGCATTATATATTTAATGATATTTATTATAACTTTGCATGATTACATAAGGGTAATTTAGAGTTTTCACTTCACCTAAACTGCATATTTGGAGTGTAGGAGGACACAAGAGCACCCAGGAGAAACCTGGAAAGAACAGAATGTCCAGACAACATACAGAGATGCACCTGCCAGCCAGTGGATTTACAGCCCTCTTGCTGTAATGTGGCATTGCTTACAGTACCAATGCACGAACCAAAACATTATTTGTTTTTGAAGCAATATCTTGTGAATATTTCCTGTGACTCTTCAGTCTTATTTACAACACATTTCAGACTCTTAAGCTACATTTATGTGCAATATTGAAAACACATATTGAATCTGTAAGTACTCATTCAACAGAGGTAGACAAACTGAAGCAAAGCACACAACCTGAACAAACAAAACATTTATTTTACTTTGCATGTAAAATACCATGCTTACATTTATATCCACCGAAAACAATGTACTTTTTCTTCTTTTCATATATTAGCAAGACAGACTTGTTATGGAGTCTTTGCGTGTGTTCCAGCAGCCTCCCCCACTCAGCCACTCCTTGTGCTGTCAGCATGGCAGGGTGGAGCTGGCAGAACTGCACGTTTTGAGCACGTTGTCCTTCCCTGTCTGTTGCCTTTTTTACTAATGTGAGCACGCCTAAGCTGAAAAGGAAAGGAGGAGGGCCCAGTACATGTAACAAGCGATGCTTTTTACCAATCACAAGGGTTTCCCCACCCTCTCTGTATTTCTCACTTCCTCATTTTTTTGACCCCTCCTTCTGTCTCTAGGCACGCCAACCAAGAAAAAAAAGTGCAGGGAAAAAAGTGATAAGCAGCAAGTCACTGTTTCTCATGCCACAGAAGCACAGTGCAGCAGCGTCAGCCCCCGAACAAAAGGCTAAACGCAGCAGAACCACAGGAGGGAACCTCAGGAAGAAAAACAGGCAGAGTGGCTCAGCGTGACTGCCCTTCTCAGGGAGGAACTCGACCTGCCATTCATTCCTCCTGCTCTTGGAGTGGAGACAGGGCTAGCCCAGTCTGTCTGTCAGAGTTGAGGATCACACTCTGTCACTGACACTTTTATCTTTTACTTTGTTTTCACACCTTAATCTCTGTCATCCTTCACTGAGATCCCTGCACCTGCCCCTCTTCACCTGGGCATCCTACCTTTTCATCCACCTGTCCTCCGAGATGTCAGACAATGACTGCCGCTCGCCCATCGGTCTGGACTGCTGTAGCTGCTGCCTGGATCTGGCCAATGGCTGTGATGAGTCTATGTCTACTGGTCGTGCTCAGGGCCTCAGTACCAACAGGAGCCTGCCAAGAAGCCCCTCCAGCCCCAGTGTCAATCACTTCCGTCAGCTCCGCAACCAGCTGATGTACCAGAACCTCAACACGGACAAGCTGAACAACATCATGAGGCAGGACTCCCTGGAGTCGGTAGTGAGAGACCCCTGCTTCCTTCTCAACGAGGGGATCTGCAACAGCAACATTGACCAGACCATGCTGTCTATACTGCTCTTCTTTCACAGGTATGTCTGCCGTTTGCTCATCCGATAGGTGCATGCTTATCTGATGTAGTAACAAATGAATATAACAGGCCTGTCATTAGCACATGAAATTTGAATTTTTCTTTTCCCCTCCTGGTGACATTCAGTACACAGTTAACCCTTTCACTTTTGGATCTGCGCATATCAAATCAAAATAGCTGTGCAGCTTTATAATCATATTTTGCTTAAAGAAACAGATGGTTAATAGAGACTAATCTGGTTTATTGGATCAGCAAAATGTCTGACGAGTGTTTACAGTTAAGGATTAAGTATAGACTAGGATGAGGGTGTTCATTCTGACATTCTAGAAATGAGTCTCAAATGAAACTGAAAGCACATTGTTATTTAATTCACAACCAAGTCTAGAGCAACATGTTGTGATTTAAATACAGATTGTCATCTCTATCTATGCCTGTACTGTACACGAAGCACTTTGTGTATTTATATGTATTGCTTCCCATTATGTAGTTGGAAAGTTGATGGGAAACATACAACAGTGTCCAAATATTTATGCAGCTCACCATGTCTATTTACACCTGCACCACCTACAACCTTCGCTTGCATACAGTATATTTGATAGGTTACATACCATGGCTCTGACAATAAAATGTGTGTGCGCTGAACACTATTAACACTACAGTTTTTTCCAGAGAAAAAGAGGTAAACAATAATGATCCTAAAAAGAACACCTTGCAAAACACATGGTTATTCTAAAAACACATGGTTCTTGTCATATTGATTCAATTAAAATGCTATAGGTCAATTAAAACTAGCTTGACTCTTTCTCTGTCTCTGCCAAATAGTGTTTATAAAACAACACTTGGCAGCTCACCTCACAGTGTTTGGGAGTAAAACAATGCCCCGCTCCAAAGTTGCTGCCAGTTTGTTTGGCAGCTACTGTGGAATGACTTTGGCCTCAAATTAGGAGTTAGCATGTTTTCCAGTTGGCTACAGTATTGACCGTCCCTGAACTCCTGAACCTGAGCCAGTTACTGTACAGTGCTTACTTTTCCAAGTAAGCACTCTACTTGGTACTCAGTAAAGTGTGGAGGTGTAAAAACAACACAACACAAACAGGCCAGCATTGTAAAAGCCACCTTTGCATGTCACACATCCTAAAGTTGTCATCATTTGTCTCAGTAAAGAGAGATATGTGTCAAAACATCAATCAAGCAATCAGATAATTTGCTGATAAGGGGTTTTCTTTTTTATTTATTGTATGGTGGTGAACTGAAGAAATCTTTATCAGACCTGGCATTTGTCACCACTCTTACCAGTTCTTTGCCTGAATGGTGCTTTCTTAAAGTTACTGTATAGTCAAACCAACAGACTGACTTTTATACAACCCTCTTTTATTAATAGTGAAAAAAAATCTCTGAACTGTTTTGATATTTTAACCATCTACATGTTTTAAGTACTTTTGTTTGCTGTGGTTTTCTAACCATTAGAGTAACACTTTCTAATCTCAATTTTTATTTAAGAAGATGGACGGCACTTATACAATGTTCAACATAAGTCGGCCTCTAGAATGTGAAACCTTTTAAATATGATTTTTATTTTGAGTGACATTAGGTAATCGATCTCTGGTAAGATTCAAATTCTCCAATTCTTCTTTAGTCTAATAAAATATCTATAATACTCTATCCTGACTAAATTTACATGGAATGAAAATGGCGGTGATGTTTGACATTGATATCACAGCAGTAATGTTCTCTGGCCAATAGGAATTATCCTCATTTTATCAAACTTCTCCAGAAGCCTGGCTTCTGTCGAAACAAGTTACATTTTAACCTGTATTAACTGTGCTGTATACTGTGGTTGTGAAAGACTGTTCTTATCTCAAAGTATCACTGATAGATATTGCATGACTTCAGAAGTAAAATCATTTACCATTTAAAAAGCACTTATAATGCACTGTGCAAGTTATGGGGATGATGGCAGCAGTGCTTGGTCTTAATTTTGTAGGTTTGGGTAATGAAAGCTTATCAGGCTGTTGGAACAAGTAACAGTATTTTATATGTATTACTTTAAATACCTGAATCACTGAAAACTCAGGGCCAAATTCTGCCTAAATAAAACATCACATGTACAGTAGGCTGTTTGGAGAACTTCTACCTTATTTTTCCACTGGTTTTAATGCTCATTCATTTGACACCATTTTAGTCCATATTGTTCTTGCTGTGGAGCTGCATTATTTAACGAAGGAACCATCAGTTATTGATTTATTTATGATAGTGAGGGCGTGTCATCATGATACTGCAGAATGAAGAACAATAGCTGAAGAAACTTGGAGTTGAGGAAGGCAGCTAATGAAATCAGAGAACAAACAGTGCTTTGGAAATGTTCTCATCTCAGTACAGTACATTCAGAATGTTTGAAGACTAGGTCAGACATGTTACGATGTCTTACTAGTCACTGCACTCAAAGTTTACACTATCATAACCTGAATAATGTCTGCTGGCAGGGCTTTAAGAAAAGTGTTGCACAAGAGTATTTGTGCTTTGTTATTCAGACTTGGTCATTTGCTGCTTTGTGTATTTGTTCACTAACAAAGGAGCTATACAGTTCATGGTTGTACAGTTTACTAAAAAACAGTTCATAGTGAGTCATAATGATATTGTTAGAAAAATGTATTCAGTGCTGAACCCTTGATCTTTTTATGTGAAAAATGTACCTACAGTGTAAAGGATTGAATTACACACCAGACTGGCATCTCTGAGGAGGTAAAAAAAAACAAAAAAACATCAAGTGCCAGTATTTTTGATGTTTCTGGCTCAGAGACAATGTATTCACCCATGCCGTTGGCTTGTCTGTCTGTGCCTGCTCGACTGTTTTTCTGACAAACAAAGTCCTCAGCTAGAACACTTTGTTCCTGAACCCTTCTTTCTTAAGAGGAAGACACAGACCATGAGGACAGATAGGCTTAGTTGAGGGATTAAAACACTGATTTCATATGAGATTTCAAATGTATACCCCGTGTGGGCATTCAGGCAGAAACACAAATATTCAATCGCATGTGTGCAAGCCTATCAGTTGAAACCCGAAAGCTTAGCTGAGGTTTATACTGTGACCTCTGCTTGGGTGGTCAGTCTGCAAAGTGGCCATCGCTCTTTTTTGCCACTTATTCTTCTGTTAGCAGAATAAGATGTTCAGCATAGCTTGAGGAAGCATGCCAGGACATCTTCTGGCCTTGTTGAATATCAGCATGAGGCAGCGGCAGCAGCCAGCAAACTTGGTATGTAAATGATGAAGGGTCAGAGAAATGTGCTGAGAGAAGAATTTGATTTCCTAAGTTCATTTGGTGTCTGAGGGAGAGCTAGGAAGCGCTGAGGTGGACATTATCTGTGATTTTCATAGGATAATACCAGAGGAAATGTGCTGATTTACAGGAATGAGAGAGGTTCTCTTGCAGACATTATCTGTGATTTTCATAGGATAAAACCAGAGGAAATGTGCTGATTTACAGATATGAGAGAGGTTCTCTTGCCATCAGTAAATCAGTACTTAGCAGCCGAGGAAACACCTTTACATGTCAGGGTGAGAAAGGGTGAAGCACCTGCAATGATGACACAAATGTTTAGCACTCAGCAAGCAGCCAAAACAAAAAGGGAAAAGACCATCAAAACCAGTAGCAGCACAAAAGATGTCACAGAGTTTTAAAGACCTCATTTCCCTGCAGCAGCCACTAATGTGACTGCAGGACAGGTGCGCACCTTTCAGCCTACACAGCTCCATTCCATTTTTACAGACAAGACAGCAATGATCAGTTAAATGTTTGAAAAGAGGAAATGTGGTTTTAAGTATGGCAGGTATGTAGAGGTTCATTTACCTGCCTGTCTAGATCATAGCTGTGAAAGAATCATCAAAACTGGCTGGCAAGGATTGTTAGTAACGTGTTCATGACAAGAACTAGACTAGTGAAGGCAGGAAGATGAGTGGGGTGAGTAAGAATGGAATAGCTTTCATTTCATGGTTCAGGTATGTTGAATGAAAAAGAATTCTCCATCTCGGCTTGAAAAGACAGTGATTGTTTATGTTAGATGCAGAATTGCCTGTCTGTAAGACCGGAGTGAAGGTCCACTTTGTATACACAGCTCTAAGTTTGTGCTTAATATGAAAAACTGTGCAAAAATATCAGGAAAATGGTTCCGACAAAGAGTCACACCCTCCGACTTCTGTTCTGACCTAACTATAGATCTTTCTGACAGTGCAGTGTCTGGGCAGCCTAGGCCTCATTACAGTGATAAAAAGTTCTTCGCTTTGGCCTGAGCTGACCACCAGGTTTTGACTTTGGTGCAGTTGACTACCGAACATGCCCTAGCCATGACCTAGACCTAGGCCTCCCTTAATAGAGTGAAGACAGCATCCAGCTGTATCAGAGACCCCACTCAGTTCTGTGATCCAAATAGAAACCACAACATAGCTTTGCTGCAGACATCACTGTTTTTGTGGTAGAGACAGTGATCCAGTGTGGAAACATTATGGAAAGTGTATTTGTGTAAGCCATTCAGGAATTCACACACATATACTGTACATTTAACAATCCTTGATGTTCCTAAAAGCAAGGCATGTTTATGAAGCACTTCTTTATTTTCATCTGAAGCTTTTCTAACTCGGGGAAAACACACTGTCTCATTCTGCACTGTTGTGTAATAAGTCATGTCATAATTTAGTTCCGGTACATGACACTGAATCGATACTCTCCAGTACAACAAAATAAAAATCATTCTTTGTCTTGGATGTGCCTGGAGAGTGACCTCATTTACCTGTAGCTCACACCTGCAAAATCTCCTATCATTCAGAGTGGAACTGAACACTGGGCAATTCTCCCTGCTCAATTTTTGAGGGTTAATGATTTACATAGAAGGCGACACACTTTTGGAGGACTCACACGGGGATAGTGCACCCTGTTCCATCCCTACCGCTGGATGTTTTTGCTGTGTTTAAATGCTTTACAGGTTTATGCTTTATTTTTTATAAAC